CCAACCTGAGTTATTTTTTGTATATGGTGAGAGATATGGATCTGGTTTCATTTTTCTGCAGATATCCAGTTTTGGCAGCACCGTTTATTAAAGAGACTATCTCTTCCCTTTGTCAAAGATCATTTATCTGGAGGTGGATGGATTTACTTCTGGGTTCTCAATTCTGTTCCATTTGGTCTATGTGTCTGTCATTGTACCAATACCAGGATATTTTGACTACTGTGGCTGTATAATAGGTTTTGAGATCAGGGAGTATGAAACCTCCTACTTTGTTGTTCTTTAATAGTGCTTTTCTCATCTGGGATCTCTTTCCTAGTTTATCTTCTGCTGTTGTGAATTTTCAGTTACGTTTGATAGATCACTTATGCCACATCTCTACACTGGTGCATTTAATCCATTTACATTCAGTACAATTATTGATAAGTATATGTTTACTGCTGTCATTTTCTTGTGCTTTTGTGTGCATGTGTGGTGCTGATTTTTTGTTGTTGTTGTTGTTGTTCCATATACTTCTCTGTGCTGAGTCCTTTTGTTTATGGAATTCTTTTCATTTCCTTCATTCTGTTGGTTTTATGCTTACTAAGTCTTTATGATTTTCTTCTTTTTTATTTGGGAAAAAGGTCTATTAAGTTTCTTTGTGGGTACCCTGAAATTCACTTTTATCTTTCTAAGTTTAAAACAGTATGTTCTATCTTGATATAACCTTAACTTTCTCTATATATGTAAGTTCTGTAACTACACCACTTAGTCCCTCTTTTTGTTATGAAGTTGTCATCATTTATAGATTGACATTCCCAGTTCCCTATTTCTGATTGACATTCCCAGTTTCCTATTTCTGGTCTTGTAGCTTTATTTTATTTTTAAAAATTCTTTATCTGGATTGGTTTCCAAAGGCAATGTTGTGATGTATCTTAATCTCAGGTTGTTTTCTGGCTTTATTGGTTCTCTGTATGAAGGACTACCATTAGTATTTCTTGTAAGATTAAGCTTGGTTTTACAAATTCCTTTAATTTCTATTTATCTGGAAATGTTCCAATTTTGCCATCATATTTGAGGGACAATTTTGCTGGATTTCTTGGTTGGCAATTTTTTTCTTTTAGGGTTTCATAAATGTCATTCCATTTACTTCTTGCCTGCATAGTTTCTGCCAAGAAATCAGAGCTTAGTCCATATTGGTTTCCATTTGTAGATAACATTTTGTTTTTCCCAACCTGCTCTCAGGATTCTTTCTTTGTCTGAGACAGTTTGATTATGATGTTTTGGTGATTTACTTTTAGGACTATCCTATTTGGCATTTGTTGAGCTTCTTGGATGGATATCTTTTTGTCTTTCATAATATTAGGGAATTTTTCTGCCAGCAAATCTTTGAAAATTTTCTCTTTGAGTTTTTGTTTTATTTTGTTGTCTCTTCTTATTCTGGAATTCCAATCACATGTAAATTATTTCCCTTCATAATGTCCCACATAACTCTTAGGCCTTCTTCATTTTTCTTCATTCTTTTTTCTGATTGTTCCTCTAACAGATTGGTAACAAGGATTTTCCCTCTATTTCACTTTTTCTGACTTCCACTGACTCAGTTCTACTCCTTTGTAGAATTGAATGTATTATCTAATTCTGAAATTTGAGTGTTAATTTTCTAGAGTTCTAGTTGATGTTTTTGTATGCTTTCTAATTATATATTTATTTCGTCATTTTTTTCTTGTGTTGTTTTCTTGAGATCTTCTAGAGTTTTGTCTGTGTTTTCCTTGATCTCTTTCCTAATCTCTTGGAGAGTCCTATATGTGTCTTTTGAATTCTTTATCATGTAGCTCCATTACCATTTCTCCCTCAGGATGAGGTCCTGGTTTTTTATTTTGGTCACCTGCCAGAATCATCTTGTCCGTGTTTCATTAGGTATTTGATATTATCCTTTGTTTCTGAAGCATTAAAGTGTTTATTTATTGATTGTATGCTTGTTTGCTACATCCTGATAATTTGTGATGTTTTGTTTTGATGTATCCAGGCAGGTGGGATGGGTGTACTATTCTGGTTGCTAGTCCATCTGCACTGGAGTGCTTGCCACCTGTCTCAGGATGGGTGAGGTTGCAGTTGGGTGTGTAAGCACAGGTTTCTCTTCACTCGTCTTAGAAAATGGCTGAGGTAAGCCACTTTGGGTAGTCATTGACTGCTGTCTGTCACTGATCTAATGATGCAAGAGCAGACAATGGCACTCACTGAGTGGGTGGGGAAGCAGTTGTGATGAGTGCAGCTGACCTGTGGGGGTGTGGTCTCCACTTTCTGTCAGATGGGGAGGTGAGTAGCGAGTGAGTGTGTGCATGCATGGTCACACTGCAACCACCTCTCGCATAGTGAGGGAGGATGTGAACAGTGGGCCAGGGTACACATGGTAGGTAGGAAGTGCGATGGAGGGCCAAGTGGTACTTAAAGGAAAGAGGGAGAGGCAGCAGGGAGGTTTGCATGGGGTCATGCTGCTGCCATCTCTCACCAGGCAGGAGAAGAGGGTGGGGAGCTTACTTGGGTTGATGGACAACAGGGGAGGGCCAAACAACTAACACCATGTCCAGGTGGCTTGGCACCACTCAGCTGGGTTGGTGGGCAGAGGTGGCGTGAAGTAAGCATCAGCACCACACCTAACTGGCCTGTTGGAGTTCAGGAAGGTTTTCAGGTAGGGGGTGGGGTCACATTCAGGACAAGGGGAGGGTGTTGGCTGGGGGTGGAAGAGAGGGCTCATGCCTTGGTGACCTGTGGTTGAGCTGCAGGAATGGGAGGGTTTGTGCCACTAATCACCAGGAAGATGTAGGGGCAGGGAGCATACTCCTCTGGTCACTGGGCGAGGGTACCTGGGCTCTTCCTGCTGACTGCAGTTAGCAATTAGAACCTTATTTCAATCCAGGTATGTCTACACAGTTACTTTATGCCCTGTTAGGAATACCATGAAGTTCCTTTCTGTGCTTCTCCACTGGGGTTGCTGCTGTATATGTCTCAAGATGGCCATGCTATGCTGGGCCAGCTAGCAGGGTAACTCTGCTACATTTCTCCTTGTTCATATTTTCAGTTTCTTCTTCCAATCAGTACAATCTAGTTCTTTATCTTTTCATTTGATGTTCAGGGTACCAGTGTCGTCTTCTGCATATGCTTCACTTAGTTTCTCAGGTCTGCTATGGAAACAGCACGGTGTGGGTGACTAAACTGTCATTCTTGCCAAAGGTCAAGCACTAGTTATTTAACCAAGATTTGTACTCATACATAGCTACATAGGTATAACCAAATCAAACTCACTGCCATGGAGTCAGACCCGACTCACAGTGACCCCTCCTTGGGTTTTAGAGGGAGTATCACTACAGAAGTAGATTGCCTAACCTTCCTTCCAAGGACTGACTGGTGGGTCAGTCTTCTGCTGAGCAGTCACACGCCTTAGGCACTATGCTACCAGAGCTCCCTACATAGCAATAGCTTCCTAAAATTTCTTTAAACTATATTCTACAGGGTTGTAAAGATGATGTAAGCAGAATATTATCAAAACTCAAAATAGCTAATAGCTTTTTTGAACTTTGTATTGAAGTATAACATACATACAGAAAAGTGCAAAAATTATTAAGTGTATATAGCTCAATGAATTATCACAAATGAACATACCCACACAACCAGCAACCATATCAGGGGAAAAAAAATACCCTAGAAGTCTGTTTTAGTTACTTTATTTTGCTCTAACAGGAATACCACAAGTGGCTTTAACAAACAGGAGTTTATTCTCCTACAGTTTTGGAGGCTACAAGTCCGAGTCCAAAGTGCCAAGCTCTAGGGGCTGGGTAAAAGCCCCTTGACCTTGGGCTTCAGCTCTGCCTCTTACTCCCAGCTCACTGGAGCTAGAGGTGTCTCTTCACTCAGACAGCTGCAGGCTACTAAGGCGAACAAGTCCAAGGTCAACAAATAAAATGGCACAGTCACAATATTACCAAACAACATAGCAGGCTACTAATTCAAGTCTAGAGGCAGACCAAGATCGCCAGGAAAAATGGCAGGCTGCTAAGCGAAGACTTGGCTACATGCAGGGTCTAAGTGTGCCAAAAAGCTGCCAAGACCTTTCTCAAAACTTCTCCTTATATACTGGAAGCAGACCACATCCCTAAGGCAGCTACTCAGCTGCTCCACCAAATTCCACCAGGGAGCTGATTACCAATCTCATAATGGGGAATAACTACAACCAGCTACTCAAAACCAAGCCCAGCCAAGGTGACACACAACTTGACTACCACAAAGTCTTCTCATGTTACAAGGCTAACAATAACTCTTACTTCTAATACCACAGGTTAACCTTGTCTAGGAAAACAGTTTTTAAATTATTACGACAACTTTTTCTACCTGGAGAAATCAAACTATTACTCAAATGTGTACTTAAAAAAAAAAAAAAAACATTTAAGGAATGGTCCACTTAGCCTGGATCTTTCAGAAAATGGCCTTGAATACATATATTGTACATATAGTCTCATAGAAAATTATTGGTGAAATGCTTACAAGTTGATAAATTGTTCAGCTTCTAATATGTACCAAACCAAAAAATCCAAACCCATTGCCATCGAGTCAATTCCAACTCATAACAATCCCCATTGGGTTTCCAACGCTTTAAATTTTTATGGAAGCAGACGAACTGTCTTTTTTCTGTGGAGCAGCTGGTGGGTTCAAATCACAGACCTTTTGGTTAGCAGCCCAATACCTTAACTACTACACTACCAGAGCTCCTTTCTAATATGTACAGTTCTTATTAAGTACATTGTTTCAGGCCAATAATGAAATACAAAAAAAAAGGCAGATTTCATATATTATCATCATATAGTTGTTTACCATCATGTAGCTGTAGTTGTTTCCAATAAATAAAACATCTTGATGTAAAGTGAAAATATCAATTATCTCTTTTGCTTTGCTGAAGATACAGCCTATAATGCATAGGAGAAAAGTACACTAACACAACCACTTTTCTAATACATTTTAAGCTTCCTTACTTGCCCAGTCCAGGAATTCAACACACTCAGTCTGGGAATACCGAGCAGCAACGTCTCGTGCTCTCTCATCCTGGAAGTTCAGAGCTTCTATATCAACATCCAAGTCCACTAGTGCTTTCAAAGTTTCCAACCGACCCCAGGCTGCAGCACAGTGTAAGAGTGTGTAACCTAGCAAACAGAACAAGGATGGTCAGGTCAAATACATTACATTGTTTTAGGCTATTTTATGCAGTAAAAGAGAAAAATGGCTATCAAATACTGAACAATATTGTGTTTCAGGCAGTATTCTAACATAGTATTCTATATAAAAGTCATTTAATTTCAAAACAATCCTATGAGGTCAGAACTATTATAATCTCCATTTTATAGATAAGGAAACTGAGGTCCAGAGAAGTTAAGAAACTTGCCCAGGGAATATAGCCAATAAATGATGGATCCAAGATATGAACACAGACAATCGTTTAAGGAAGATGGCAAACTCCCCAGCCATCATTTATTTTTGAACACAACTTGAACCATGATTTTAGTCTAAGATATACCATCAAACACTAATTTCTCTAGCATTGTCATTAATGCAATTATAAAAATTAATACAACTGGCTTTGGAATTAATCATGTGAATAAAAACTGATATTATGACATTAGAAAGTTATTTCTTAAATTTACTAAGGGAGCTCTGGTAGCATAGTGCCTAAGGCACTTGACTGCTAGCCAGAAGGCTGGTGGTTCAAACCCACCAGCCACTCCTCAGAAGGAAGATGGGGCAATCTACTTCCTTAGCGATACTGCCTTGGAAACCCAAGGAGGGGTCGCTATGAGTCGGGTCCGACTCGAGGGCACATAACAACAACAAGGTGAATCAGGTAAAGGTGAAAAATAGGGGAAGCATCTTTAAAATTTTTTCAGACTAGTTTTAAAAAAATCAAGCCAAAAACTCATTTTTATTTTCTAGCAACAATATACTAGTATTCATGCTTCCAAATGAAAAAACAAACCCATCACCATTGAGTCAATTCTAACTCATAGCAACCTCCATTGGGTTTCCAAGGCAGTAAATCTTAACGGAAATAGATTGCCCCGTATTCCTTCCACGAGCAGCTGGTAGGTAAATGCCTTAGGCACTGCGCCCACTAAACTGGCCAAAAAGGCAAGTACTACTACTACAAGAAGAGTTGAGCAAGAGAATGTGCTAACATTAAATGCTAGGCATTTTATGTGTTGCTTCACTTAATCCTTCCAACCCTGTGAGATAGGCATTATTAGCCCCAATTTTTAAAATATTTTTTAAAACAATCACTCTTACAAAGAAAGCTTTTTACCAAGGAATTTGCAACCACTACACGTTTTGTTCCTCCTCTACAGTCCTGGGGCACAATTCTTTATCTATGGACCTCTGAGACTAATAGAGTTAGCTACTCCTCCAATAAAATATAGAGGCAAGTATCAGATCACAGGTCTAGGCATTCCAGTTCAAAATGGGGGAAAACAGAAAGTAAGAGTCACTGGTGCAAAGCAACTTCAAAATTCAGCAGAGCAAACTCCGTTAGCTTTCAAGACCTGGGAATAATTCTCTGTGTTTTTCAGCTCTGCCCTCCATGCTTTTGGCTCACACTCTTGGGTCTGGATTCAACCTTCTAAGCCATCCTTCCTTTTTCATGAAAGATAGCATGTGTTTGCAACTCAGCAGTTTTATCAGTCTGCTTTCTGATAGCAGAATTTTGGGGGTCTGACAGGCTTTTTTTAAATTTTGTACTCTTATCTCTTACAGTCCAAATTGGTAGTGTTTTTGCTGATATATTATTATCAAGATTTTTGTAGGTCTCCCCTGGATGTGACAAGGATTCAATATACTCCATTAGACAAAAGCCAGGTCCACAAATCCTTTGAAGATAACATTTTCTCTGTTTTTGGCTTCTGCTAAAATAGCTGAGAGACGACTCCCTAATGCTCCTGGTTGATTGAGGGAACACCCTCATCATACCTTTAATCTCTTATGTCTAAATCCTCTGAACTTTATATCTTTTTGACATATCAGCAAAGGATTATAAAGTCACATATTCATCTTTTTCTCTAGAGAATGCTTTCCTACAACAAATAACATCTTTGCCACTCCTTAGAATTTCCAAAATCATTAAGCCTTGGTTCCTTTTCACCTAACAATTTCTCTCTTTCCTCTGGCATTTTACTACAAGCAGCAACAAATCAGGATGTACTTTCAAGTTTCCTTTTGAATTTCCCTAGCCAGATGAGATTTCATGGTGAGCATGAAATCAGAGTAAAAAATGGATTCCAGTGGAATACATCACCAAGCTCTAAAGGCTGTAGACCTATTGCCATAAATGAAATTACCTACCAAGACAACATCAATACATAAACTAGGCAGACTAACTCCAACAGTAAGTAGAAGCCCACTGTCAAATATTGATTTGGGACTCTTCTTTTATATAGTATATTTTTCAGATATTAATATTGTGGTAGTTAAGGTTGTGTGTCAACCTGGTAGGGCCATGATTTTGAGTGGTGTGGCAGCTGTGATGTAGTTTTCCCCAGGATGAGATTGGATGCAGTGTAATCACCTCCATGGTGGAATCTGCTGTGAGCAGCTAATTAGTTGAAGTGGAGCTGCCTTCAGGATGTGGCCTGCTTCCAGTATATGTAGAAAAGATTTGGGAAAGGTTTCTGGCTTTTTGTTCATTTTGGATGCTACATTTGACCCATCATCACCTCTAGTTCCTGGACTTGAACCAGCAGCCTGCTGTATTGCCTGCTGATTTGAGGAATGTTGCCTTCACAGCCTATAAGGCAACAATCTGCCATTTTACCTGCTGATCTTGGATTCATCAGTCTCAGCAGCCAGCAGCCTGCTATCTCACTGCCACTGAGTGAATTCCAACTCACAGCAATTCCCATTGGATTTCCAAGGCTATAAATCTTTACAGAAGCAGACTGCCTCATCTTTCTTTCACAGAGCAGATGGTAGGTTTGAACCACTGAAATTTTAGTTAGCAGCTGAATGCCTTAACCACTGCACCACCAGAGCTCCTTGCAGCCTTCTATACCAAAACCAAACTCAGTGCCTGCCTTCGAGTCAATTCTGACTCATAGTGACCCCCACTGGGTTTCTGAAGCAGTAAATCTTTACGGAAGTAGATCGCCCCAGTCTGTCAGCCCCTGCAGCTGTGTGAGTCAGGAGAAACCTCGAGTTTGATGTCTGATCCAGACTTAGGACTTTCCAGCCTGTACAACTGTGTTGGCCATTTCCTTGAGATAATTTTTTATCTATATATATATGCCTGTGAAAGCTGGACAATGAATAAGGAAGACCAAACAAGATTTGATGCTTTTGAGTTGTGGTATTGGCGAACAATACTGAGAGTACCGTGGACTGCCAGAAGAACTAACATATCTGTCCTGGAAGAAGTGCAGCCTGAGTGCTCCTTGGAAGCAAGAATGCCCAAACTTCATTTCACTTACTTTGGTCATGGTTTCAGAAGGGGCCACTCCCTGGAGAAGGATATCATGCTTGGTAAAGTGGAGGGTCAATGAAAAAGGGAAAGGCCCTCAATGAGATGGACTGACACAGTGGCTGCAATGATGGGTTCAGGTACAGCAAGGATTGTGAGGCTGGCACAGGATCAGGCAGCATTTCATTCTGTTCTACATAGGGTCGCTATGAGTCAGAGCCGACTTGACAGCACCTAACAACAACATGTGTGTATGTATATGTGTGTGTATACATATATATGTATGTGTGTGTGTGTGTGTTGTGTGTGTGTGTATACCTATACACACACACACACACATATGTATAAACGTCACTGGTTTTGCTTCTCTGGAGAATCCAGCCTAAGACAACTATTATCCCTATTTTTATGGATCAAGAAATTGGTCAGAAAGGTTATATAACTTGCCTGAGTCATACAGCTTAGTGACAGACCTGGGATTTGAACTCAGGAGGTCTGTCTCCAAAATCAACACTTTAATCAATTCACTATAGAATATTTTTGTACCTTGCTTTTTATCTCAATTTTATGGTTTTTTTAAAATTGTCCATTTTAATACTAAGAGTTACTTCATTTTAACTGTATTATTTGTGTGAATCAATCATAATATATCTATTCTATTCTATTGATTTAGATTATTTCTAATTATGCACTATTACAAACTATGGTTGAACAAATTTACTCATACATATGTCTCCTTGTGAATCTACATGAGTTTTCCAAAGATATATATCTAGAAATATAATTCTAGATCATAGAGTATGTCCATTTTCAACTTTATATAAAGTTTATTCAAAGTGATCAGAAAAATTTACACATCCTCCAGCAGACTACAAGAGTTCCCATTTCCCTTATCTCCACCAATACTTAATGCTCAGATCCAACTCATAGTGACCCTGGGTTTCTGAGGCTGTTATCACTACAGAAGTAGATTGCCAACCTTCCTTCTGAGGAGTGGCTGATGGGTTTTGAACCACTAGCCTTCTGGTTAGCAGTTAAATGCCTTAGGCACTATGCTACTAATGCTGTCAGATATTGTCAAATACTTAATTTTTTCCCAGTGTGGTAAGTAAGTATTGATTACTCATTGTTTAAATTTGCACTCTGGTAGCATAGTGGCTAAGTCACTTGCCTGCTAACCAGACGGCTGGCGGTTCAAACCCACCAGCCACTCCTCGGAAGGAAGGTTGGGCAATCCTACTTCCGTAGTGATACTGCCTCGGAAACCCAAGGAGGGGTTGCTATGAGTCGGGGCCGACTTGACGGCACATAACAACATAACAACAACATTGAAGTTGTTTACCTGTGTGTTATTGACTATGCAAAGGCATTTGATTATGTGTATCATAACAAATTATGGATAATGTTATGAAGGATGGAAATTTCAGAATTTTTAATTTTGGTCATGTTGAACCTGTACATAGACCAAGAAGAGATGCTGTGTGATTTAAAATCAGGAAAAGTGTGCATCAGGAAAGTACACTTTCAAAATACCTATTCAATCTGCATGTAGAGCAAATAATCCAAGAAGCTTATATGAAGAAGAATACATCAGGAATGGAGGAAGATTCATTAAAAATCTGGGATATACAGATGACACAACCTTGCTTGGTGAAAGCAAAAAGCAGTTGAAGAACTTACTGATGAAGATCAAAGACTACATAC